TATGTATGTATGTATACACTATACACTAATATTCTACATTAAGATGGAATTCATTTACAGAATAAAATGTGTGGAATAGGTAAATTAAATATGTTTTGCGTTGTTACAAATGTATTGAAATTAATTTATTAACAAAAACGTGAGGAAAGGGATATGTATATACACTTTTTACTGAATCAAAAAAAATTATTAAACATGACAGTAAAAACTTGGCGCTTTTGTTTTGGAAAAATTGGCTTTTTCTGGTGTTCTGCTGCCACACTGGCTCAGTTGTCGCAAAAGTACACATACATACACGCATTTTTACTTGAAAATAAGTGTGTAGTGGTTAATATGTATACGATGCCATCTCCGTACAGCTCACTTCACCTCGCCTAGCACGCTCGCGTGCGCGCAGTTTGCCCGCGACGTCGACTGCGTGCACCTCTGCTGTGCATCCCTAGTCTATTGTACCATTGTACCATTGTACTGATTTAATAATATGATTCCGAGTGAAATTTTTTCTACTGATGTGATGTGCTGATTGTTAACTATAGTGCATTTCGCTGGTTTGCTTCTAAGCAACTAGGTAGTATTACTAATATCTATAGCAGGGGTGGGCAAGGCCGATGCCGAAATGAGCCACATGTAAATTCTAAATGCTACAAAGAGCCACAAAAAAAACAACAAAAACAAAAATTTAATTTTCAAATAAAATTATGATTAGAAANACCTCTGCTGTGCATCCCTAGTCTATTGTACCATTGTACTGATTTAATAATATGATTCCGAGTGAAATTTTTTCTACTGATGTGATGTGCACCTCTGCTGTGCATCCCTAGTCTATTGTACCATTGTACTGATTTAATAATATGATTCCGAGTGAAATTTTTTCTACTGATGTGATGTGCACCTCTGCTGTGCATCCCTAGTCTATTGTACCATTGTACTGATTTAATAATATGATTCCGAGTGAAATTTTTTCTACTGATGTGATGTGCACCTCTGCTGTGCATCCCTAGTCTATTGTACCATTGTACTGATTTAATAATATGATTCCGAGTGAAATTTTTTCTACTGATGTGATGTGCTGATTGTTAACTATAGTGCATTTCGCTGGTTTGCTTCTAAGCAACTAGGTAGTATTACTAATATCTATAGCAGGGGTGGGCAAGGCCGATGCCGAAATGAGCCACATGTAAATTCTAAATGCTACAAAGAGCCACAAAAAAAACAACAAAAACAAAAATTTAATTTTCAAATAAAATTATGATTAGAAATGAAAAACATTAATTTTATTATTATTATAATGTACGTAAGATAGATATTAAAGAAAATTCAAAAGATCCCTTTGGCCAAATATTCAAAATCTGGTTTTACGTCAGTTAAAGCCGTTCGTAACAGTTCGGTTAAATGTTCGTTTAAAATTTCCAGTAAAAAATTCCCAGTAAAAATTTTCAGAAACTTGCAAGTTAGACGAACAGCTGATAGAAATTTTGTTTACATTCAAAAGTATAAAATTAAAAACGTAATAAAACAAATCCCGAAGTCATATCCTGACAAAGTTCACTGACTAAACGCATAATTACTTACTTCTTACAAGTTTAATCAGTCGCACTTTACTATTTTAACTTCCAAACCATAAAATTCAATTAGGTATTTGCGTAAATTCCGACCAGCTGTTTTTGATCAGCCGTTTTCTTTTTGGCAAATTGCTGTTGGTAAAAATTTTTCCAGCAGAAACTAGCAGCTTTCCCTCAAAATGAAATGTCATATTGCCCCCTACTTTGCAAGTTTTTTGCGTACGAATGCCTGTAAAAAATAACTGCAACTTACTTTTCAGTGGACTTTATTTCGACTATGACCACGTGCCAATTACTTTACTCCTATTGTAAACTGGTTTAATAGGTTTACTAACATCAAATTAGGAAACTTCATATCCTTATTTAACGAATCTTTAAATCAACAAATAATTTTTTTCCTTTTAGTTCTTATTGTAAGAAAAGCGTGTTTTTGTTTTTTTTTAACTATAATTTTATTACTCATTAGGTTAATTTTTTTACACACCTATCATTTTTCTTGTTTTAATAAAAGAACTAACCTTGAAGCTATCATTGGTGTTCTAATATTCTTTTGCAATGAGTGTTGTTGATGTTGATGTTGTTGATGTTTCGGTTTCATTGCAAAAGAGTATTGAGAGTATAAGAGTAGTTCCAGTTATTTTTTACAGGCATCCCATTGAAAACATACAGCACCCCATTGGTAGAGGGCTTCGGATGTACGAATTTGTTGTAACATCAGGAGTTGAAGACTTGCTCTAGCTGCTAGTCTCTTAAAATGTCCTCCAATCACGTCGTAAGCAGATTTCCCATGTGTACTTGCAACAAAGTTCAATTCTGCCATTTCCTTAAAGGGATTTTCATGATTTCAGACCTTTAGTAATATCATTTATTCATATTGTTTTTGTTTTTACCACACCTTTCCCGTTTCAAAAATATACAATTCCATAAAATTTCAATGTCTATTTATCATATTGCTCGAGCGTTAGACGATCTAGAGTCCATACGCATAAGTAGCCCATTACGCCCAATGGGGACTTAAAGTTGACATTATAGACAATGTTTTTATGTAAAAATAAAAAAATTTTAAAAAGGCTATATTAAAAAAAAAATCAAAAAGAAAAATGTTTGCTTAATTTTTTTTGTTTTTTATACGTTGCACATTAATGTAAAATATGTACAATTAAATCCCATAATAAGAAAGAAGAAATACTTTTTTTTCATTAAGTTTCGTTAAAAGGTTTCCACTTTAGAGAAAGGTATGTATGACGTTTTCTTAAAATTTAAGTTCGGTGTAAATAGGCAACCCTTCGTCATATCGGCAAAATATGCTGCACGTATACTCATGTCACCTAGACCTTCAATCTCTTTCCAAATCCTAAGAGGACGCGCACAGATGTGGCCGCGGTGACATGAAATGCCTCTTATTATTTGTTGCAGGGGTTCTCTGATATCTTCTATTGCATTTGACTCTACACTGAGAAAAAAACGCGTTGGAAAATTGAATATTTTTTATTTGATTACCGTTTAAAAATGTTCCATTTATCACTGAAGGATTTAGGTAACGTTTTAATAGTGCAGTTAAGTTCTATATTGAAAAGTTCGGTTAACAGATTAAATGTCTATGGTAGGTTGGAAATGGTATTTTAAATTGATAGCTGTCTTCGTCTCCTAAAGATATCCAAAGTTAGTTTTTGAAGGCATTTATGGATCCTTCTACTGCTTGGATTAAATTGTGAGATGAGCTTTCGTCGGAATATATGGCAACTGATAAGGAATTTACTTCAAATCGCCTGGATAATGTATCTGAAACTACATTGGCTTTTCCGGGTTTGTATCTTAATTCATAATTGTATTCTTCTGATATGCCTTTCCAACGTTTTAGTTTGGAGTTATTGTTTTTATTACTGAGGGCGTATGTAACTGGTTGATGATCTGTATTTATTATAACTTTTGCGGTACCGTATAAGTAGTTTCTAAAGGAGTTAAGTGCCCATATAATGGCAAGCATTTATTTCTCGTTCACTGCATAATTTTCCTCAGCCTTGTTTAGTGTTCTCGATATAAAAGTTATTGGTTTGCCATTTTGTCCTAAAACTGCGCCTATGGCATCCTTTGAACAGTCTGTAGTTAAGTCAAATTCGTTTTTGAAATCAGGGTATTGTAGGACTACGTCTTTGGATGTTAATGTGGATTTGATTTTGTTAAATGCAGATTTTGCTTCTTCGTTTAGATTAATTTGAACTTTTACTTTTGAACATTGTTCCTTCTTCACCTCTTAGGAGGGATGTTAGTGGCTTGGCTAATTTAGCATAATCTCTGATAAATCTTCTATAATATCCAGATAAGCCTAAGAATGATCGTAAGTCTTCGAGTGTTTGAGGGTATGGGAAATTTAATATTGACTGGTCATTAGAAGGATTTGTAGAAATTCCATCGGGGGATACAACAAATCCTAGGAATTCAACCTGTTTTTTGAAGAATTCACACTTATCTATTTGTACCTTCATATTAGCTTCATTAAGGGTTTCGAACATTTTGTCTATAATTTCGGAATGTGATTTCTCGTCTTTGCTAAAAATAATGATGTAATCTATGTATACGTAGCATATTCTATGTGTTTCCTAAGTATGTCGTCTAATGCCCGTTGGAAAATAGATGGGTCTAGTGAACTCGAATTTTCCGTTATTCTCTAAGAAAGCTGTTTTTTCCACCTCAGATTCCTTAAGACGAATTTGATGGAAACCGCTTTTTAAGTCAATTACAGAGAACATTCGATTCTTTCTTAATTGAGAAGATACCTCATTTATTTCTGGTATTGGATACCTATTTGCAATTGTGACTGTGTTCAGTTTTCTGTAGTCACTGACCATTCCTAATTTCTTTTTTGCCTGAGGCATTATCCTTTTTAGGTACAACCCAGACAGGTGAGTTGTAGGGTGATCTTGATTTGCGTATAATTCCATCTTCTAGCAATTTGTTTGTTTGGTTTTCAACTTCTCCTTCTTGGCTATTAGGGTATCGGTAGGATTTGAAATATACCTTTGTTGTGTACGTAAGTTTTTCATTTGGTTTTGAAAATAAGTTGCGGCGTTTTTTTACTAGCTGCCTTATTTCTTTTTTATCTACTGTCGTCATGTGTTCGTCTCGAATATTAATTGTGTTAACGCTCAGTATCCTATATTGTATGAGAAATGTTTTTTTAGTATTGCTTATTACCATAAAGTTTTACTTCGTATGTATTACTGCTGAAAGTTCTTTTAAGCTGTCGTTTCCTAGAATATCGTGGAAGGTTTTGAGTGTAGGTAACAGGAAGAATTTTAATTTGCTACCTTCTATATTAAAAACATTTAGAAATGTGCGGTGTGTAATTTTTATTTTTCCACCAACTGAGTTGTCAAAAAATGGGTTATCATTCTCTATTGCTCAGTCTAGTAATGGTTTGGATATAATTTTTGTTGGATCCTGTGTCTACCAGGATGTTTAATATTGCTCCGCTCCTCGTTTTGCATCTAAAATAGGGTAACGAAGAGCTGTTCAGTCTAAAAAATGTACGTCTATTAGGTCATGTGTTTCTTCGTATTCGTTATTGTAAAATATGTCCTGGTTCTGGTTTTATTGATCTTCATAGTATTGATTTTCATAGTGTTGGTTTTCCATTGCTCCTTCATAGTTTATATGAAAGTTTCTTTGAACCTTCGGTGCGTTTTTGGTTGGCGTTTACCTGGTTCTTGGGGTTTGGGACGGTTTGTGTAGTTTACCGCTCTTTTCCTGATGCTTTCATCTACATCCATAGGTTGGGGTGGTTTAGGTGGTCTTGGAGGGGGATTTTGTAGTTGATTATATGGATTTTGGGGTTGGTATCTATTGTATTGGTTAGACTGATTTGGATTTTGGTTGGTATATTGCTGGAAGTTGGGAGAATGAAAATTTAGTAGGCGATAGTTTTGCGAAATGGAATTTGTTAAAAGTTGTGGTTGATGGGCTAGTTCCGGATAGAATTTCGACTGTGGAAATTGCTGATTCATCGGTTGGGAATATCTTGGTGTGAATAGTTGTTGTCGTGGATTTATGGGATTGAAGCTTTGTTGCCAAGAGGTTGACGGTGCGTTTATCATTCGATTGTTGGCGTGGTATGCTCTAATGCTTTCATTTCCGAGCTTTAGACAAAGATGTAAGGCCTCTGGTAAGCTCTTTAGTTCTTTTATACCTCGAAGCCTAGGCAGGTCGCCAGATAGTCTTCTAACAAAGGTGTCAAGGGCTTTAGCACGGTAGTTATCTGTTAACAGATGGACTGCTTCTTCGCCTATTTCCATGCAGCCTTTTTTGTTTAAGATCATAGATAAATGTCCATAAACTATTTGCTAGAATTCATTTATTGTCATTCGCCCTTGAACGAGGCATGTAATTTGATAATCTAATGTGCCTATATCTCTTTTGTCGGCATAATGGGTGGTCAAACAACGAGAGATTGCTATCCAGTCTAAGGTAGGGCTGCCATAATTGCTGGGCCTCAAACGGGACACTTAGCAAAAAAAAAATTATTTCTTTCCAAAGGGATACTCTCATACTCTCCTTTTTTTAAATCATCTTTACACTTATAGTCTCGTTCAATTGTAGAAAAAAACTTAGTTGCTGCTCTGTTCTAATACATAAAAAAACGGTATTGCATAAACCATAATAAATTGAGATCAAAAAAACATTTCCACTGCATGGACGTATTTATACACATAACGTATTTTATTATATACATAAGTATGTCATAAGAACATTTATGCGTTTTAAAGTATGTATATACAAACAAACAAAACAATAACCATTAGAGATCAATGAAAATTTTTTGTTCAGTTCAGGAACGTATGTATTTGTACTTCTTAACGTAATGGAAGCAAACAAAACAAGAGTTATTTTAAAATATTTTTACGTAATACCATGTTCTGACCGACATCGAAAATATGTTTTCGTTGCTAAAACTGTAAAATCTATCAAATGATATTGTCGCCCGAAATTGTTCACTTTCGAATCCGCGTTTTCCTTAAGGGCGGGTGACAAATATTCGGACGAAACTCACGATAAGACTAAATAATTTTCCTCCAACCAATTAAAATTTACAAAAGCTAATTAAATTTTGTTGTCCCAAGCATTCAACGGGGATATTTTGGTTGTAAACGGGGACACAGGGACAAAGGGTCCGAAACGAGGACATGTCCCTGGAAACGGGGACGTATGGTAGCCCTAGTCTAAGGGTGTGTTATATGACTCTAGTGCTATATCTGCTTTACCAACTATTACATTATTCTGATTAAATTTAAAATGCCAAAGTATTTAGGCGTGTCTTTTGAGAGTTCATATATTCTAAGAACGTTCAACGCTTTTTTTCCAGGAGCTAAACTCCGAAGCGTTTCCTGAAAATTCTCGTAATGAACGTACTACATCTGGAATTTTGTCCATCTCGTTCATATTATTTCTGAATTGCTCCTCTATTGTTTTATTATTGGGGGTATATTGTTGTTAAGTGCATTTTGTATTAGATTAGGGCCGTTCACTTCTATGGTTTGGGTAATCATAGTCCTAATAAGGTTAGCTAATTCTGGAGAAATTTGAGGGGCTGAATTTGAGGGTGCTGCCGGTGGGGCAGTATTTCCTAGCACTGGTCGCCTAATGAGGTTGTTTGGATTTGCCATCTTAAACTTTGTATATTTTTTTTTTTATTTTATGTGAAGATTTTGGTTTACTTCTATTTCTTGTAAAAAAAAAAATACTAGGGCTTTTATTATTACATATAAATTTTTTCAAAAAAGTTTTCATAAAAACGTGAAGATATTAGGATTTTTTTTAGATTAATCTTTTTTTTTACAAAGATTTTTGTAAAAAGGAGAAAAATATTAGCTATTTTTGTTTTTTTTTTAAACAATTTTTCCACAAAAAGTTTCCAAAGACAATTTTTTTACAAAATTTGTTCAAAGAAAATTCCTTAATTTTAATTCTTATATTACTTACAACATAATCAGCTTCATACCAGCAAGTGGCAAATGTGTATTCTCACCTTTTTCCGTTAGGTACTAGGGTACACCGTTTTGCTCTTTTCTCGTCCCTGCTCGGGCGCAACTTTACGGCGGAATTAATTGATTGACGAAAAAAATATTATTTTTGGTCTAAATACCTTTATTATTTGAATCAATAATTACAACTGATTACTTAAATGCTAATTTTACTCTTAATATAAACTAATTCTTCCCATGCCAGCATTAAATACTTGTTGACTTGATTTAGCGCATGCCAGATGTTATATCCAATTTAATTGTGTTTGCTTACGGTGGCTCCTATTTGTTAGTTATAATTCTTCATATTATCGCTTGTCAATATGTTTACATTAATTTGTTTTTTAACTCTACTGGTGTTAAATATATATGTGAAACAACTTCAGAGCTCAAAGGAACATCCAAAAGTAATATAGAACTCCTCAAAACTGGAACAATGTGTTGTTCTTGAAAATCGGATTTCAAATAACCAAGTTATAGTTTCGAATTTTTTAGAAGGATTTTGTATGGTGCCGAAGACCTCTCACCATAAGCTTTAAATACACCATAGGGCTCTTCAGGATCTTGTGCATATGCTCTTGCATTTGTATATTCGTTGCATTTGCAAATTCACAACAGTGAAATGCACACAGTTGCCATGGCAGAAAGCATAAAACTTGCGAATGCAATTGGAACTGCAAATCCAATACCATTTCCACAACATCCTCAACAGCCCTAATATTTGTTTTCGATCCAGTCTAATGTACACATTATACATCCACTTGTTCTACATAACTTCTTCCTCGCAAGTAGTACTTACTCTGATACTCCTAATTTTTTGCTCGGTGTTATGTTCCACCCGTTCTTGTTTTTGTTTACTTTTTGCTTTTGTTGATTGTCTGCCAGCTCGTCTCTCAGTCTGCTTCTATCAGCTTGCTGATATAGGCAAACGCCTCAAAACATTTTGTGGGCAGCGCATCAAAGTCTCAATAAGCGCTGAGTGACTAAGTCTGCGCAAAAGCTGCACCATTTCTGTTTCCCTTTTCCTTTTCCAATCCAATGGTTAATTGTTCATTGGTGTGTAAATATTCGGAATGGTGTACGAATTCAAAGATTCGGCTTGGCAACTCAAGAAAATGTTTGTATATACATAAATATGCGTGCGTAATTGAGTTTTTATTAAGGTAAAGGCTATTTTCGGTACACATTATTCAAAATAAAAAAAGTAAGCTATAATAAATCTATCAGGTTCAGACAAACTTGTGATATTTTTTAAGTTTGAGAACGTGATTTAAAAGCAACAAATACTGCCAAGTCAGGGACCGGCACAGCATTTTTTAACAAGTAAGACATTAGTGCGATTTATGAAACATCGCAAAGTTGCATTTTTGGCGAAGTGTCAACGTTGCGAACGAAATTGTATAAACGACCTATCGCAACTCCGGATCGCAAGTTTTGCAAAGTTTTTACAATTATATTTCGTATCAGCCGTAACTGATATACTTTTTCTTCAAGTATTCGATAACAGTGTCGCAATTTTATCGCAAGAAAGTTTTCATACAAAGGTTATCAGCTGTGTCCCAAGGTGGAAAATTTTGCAACAAATGCAACATTTGCAACAACTTTGCGAAGTTTCATGAATCGCACTATTATCTCGTTGATATCAGTGCAAGAGGCGTTTTATCCTATTTGTAAAACTCAAATAATTGAATTTTTGATAAAGATGCGGCAATGAACCATCACGAAAGAATATTCATATTGATCATAAATATAGCTTAAACGATCTTAACCCTTTAAAACTCCATATCGAAGAAATTGTCATTAAAAAGGAATTTTCACCATATGAATAGCAGTTTTTCAAAATCAAAATCAGTAGTGTCCTAGAAGCTTTACAGTACCGATCAGGGATGAAAAATGGAAATTTCAGATTGTACCTAATATCATAAAATATATGTACCTAAATGAGACAGATTGTACCAAAAAAAGTTACATCATTCATTTGTAGGTTTTTTTTATAAATTTTATTTAAAACATGAATACAAAAGATGGATGTACTTTAAACATGATTATGTTTTTTTTTCTCGACTGAGCCTATATCTATAGACTATAGTCTAATGAGAATCGGAAATGCGTTGTTTTTCTCTACCTTTGACTACTGAAAAATATATTTCAAATCCTGGTCAAAGCAACATCGCAAAAAATATAGAAAAAAGGTTTTTTCTTAACAGCGGTCGTCCCTCGGCAGGCAATGGCAAACCTCCGAGTGTATTTCTGTCATGACAAACAGCTTCTCATAAAAAAACCATCGCCGTTCGGAGTGGGCGTAAAACTCTAGGTCCCTCCGTTCTGTGTGACAATATCAAGGCGCACGCCACATATCGGAGGAGAAGCTCGGCCAAACATTAACATATGTGTAAGCGCCAATCTATTATTATTATTATGTTTTTTTGAATAACCGTTTAATGATTAAATACCGATATTACCACCTGATTAACAATTAATTACTTAAAATGTTAATTAATTCATTAATTTTAATTACGTCATTAGTTTGTTATTTTCGATCATTTTCGAATATGTTTGACCTTTTTTAATTACACGATAAATATAATTATTTGATTAATTTCTATTATCAATCAACAAGCCAAACTATAGACAACAATTAGGAATATTTATTTATTTTATTCTTATCCAAATCTCAAATTTTAAACATTAATTATTGCTTTTATAAACTTTTAAAAAGGATAGACTGGAATCTCCAAAGGTAATGAATTTAATTTATTTTAATGAATAATTTTATTTTTATTTTAGTTCACTCAAAAATGAGCTAAAGTATTCATTTTATTTGCAACTAAAATGTTTTCTTGGGCATCTTAAATATTATTAAAAAGATAAAAATATAGTATTTATTGTATCTGAAACTTTTTACTTTTAATAACATTTAATGACAAATTTATTTTAATTTATGTTCGAAAGTCTGGAATATTTATGTATTTAATTTTGCTTTTAATTAATACTCAAAAAATTTAACACTAATTATTGACAAATCTAAGGCTGCTAAATAAAAATGTGTAATATATTAAAGTGTACTTAATCAAAAGTTTTTTATTGTATATTCATGAATTCAGTTCATTTCTTGACTCCCAAAGTAGTGGTTTTGGTCCATAATTGGACTAGTATTTTTCTGTCTATTTTGAACTAGTATGAGACTTGTATATTTCTGTCCGAAATCTGACAATTGCCATCTCGTAGGACATCCCTATGTTAAAAATACCAGTTGATTGCATGGAAAAAAGGTAGTTGGCTGACTAGTTGGGCATGCGGTTCATACTAGTTGTGAGGTAGTTTGCAACTAGTTCATTTTACTACAGAGTATGTATATGACTGGGAAGTTGGCATACGGTATGACGCAAAACGAAAAAAGAAAAGTTGTTCTGAGTAGCCTTCCTGAAAAGGAAAAAAAAGTTCTGCAAAATTGCGCAGAAAAAAACGTTTTTCCGAAAAGTCGATAAAGTTAAATATTTGAAAAAAAAATTTAAATCTGTTCTGAGTAGCTTTTCAATAGTTCTAGAGTTCCTGAGAAGGAGAAAGAAAGTTCTGCAAAAGTACGCCGAAAAAACATTTTTTTTGAAAAAGTGGAAAAAGTAAAATTTTTTAAAAGAGTAAAAAATTAAATCTGTTCTGAGTACCTCTGCAATAGTTCTAGAGTTCCTGAGAAGGAGAAAGAAAGTTCTGCAAAAGTACGCCGAAAAAACATTTTTTTTGAAAAAGTGGAAAAAGTAAAATTTTTTAAAAGAGTAAAAAATTAAATCTGTTCTGAGTACCTCTGCAATAGTTCTAGAGTTCCTGAGAAGGAGAAAGAAAGTTCTGCAAAAGTACGCCGAAAAAACATTTTTTTTGAAAAAGTGGAAAAAGTAAAATTTTTTAAAAGAGTAAAAAATTAAATCTGTTCTGAGTACCTCTGCAATAGTTCTAGAGTTCCTGAGAAGGAGAAAGAAAGTTCTGCAAAAGTACGCCGAAAAAACATTTTTTTTGAAAAAGTGGAAAAAGTAAAATTTTTTAAAAGAGTAAAAAATTAAATCTGTTCTGAGTACCTCTGCAATAGTTCTAGAGTTCCTGAGAAGGAGAAAGAAAGTTCTGCAAAAGTACGCCGAAAAAACATTTTTTTTGAAAAAGTGGAAAAAGTAAAATTTTTTAAAAGAGTAAAAAATTAAATCTGTTCTGAGTACCTCTGCAATAGTTCTAGAGTTCCTGAGAAGGAGAAAGAAAGTTCTGCAAAAGTACGCCGAAAAAACATTTTTTTTGAAAAAGTGGAAAAAGTAAAATTTTTTAAAAGAGTAAAAAATTAAATCTGTTCTGAGTACCTCTGCAATAGTTCTAGAGTTCCTGAGAAGGAGAAAGAAAGTTCTGCAAAAGTACGCCGAAAAAACATTTTTTTTGAAAAAGTGGAAAAAGTAAAATTTTTTAAAAGAGTAAAAAATTAAATCTGTTCTGAGTACCTCTGCAATAGTTCTAGAGTTCCTGAGAAGGAGAAAGAAAGTTCTGCAAAAGTACGCCGAAAAAACATTTTTTTTGAAAAAGTGGAAAAAGTAAAATTTTTTAAAAGAGTAAAAAATTAAATCTGTTCTGAGTACCTCTGCAATAGTTCTAGAGTTCCTGAGAAGGAGAAAGAAAGTTCTGCAAAAGTACGCCGAAAAAACATTTTTTTTGAAAAAGTGGAAAAAGTAAAATTTTTTAAAAGAGTAAAAAATTAAATCTGTTCTGAGTACCTCTGCAATAGTTCTAGAGTTCCTGAGAAGGAGAAAGAAAGTTCTGCAAAAGTACGCCGAAAAAACATTTTTTTTGAAAAAGTGGAAAAAGTAAAATTTTTTAAAAGAGTAAAAAATTAAATCTGTTCTGAGTACCTCTGCAATAGTTCTAGAGTTCCTGAGAAGGAGAAAGAAAGTTCTGCAAAAGTACGCCGAAAAAACATTTTTTTTGAAAAAGTGGAAAAAGTAAAATTTTTTAAAAGAGTAAAAAATTAAATCTGTTCTGAGTACCTCTGCAATAGTTCTAGAGTTCCTGAGAAGGAGAAAGAAAGTTCTGCAAAAGTACGCCGAAAAAACATTTTTTTTGAAAAAGTGGAAAAAGTAAAATTTTTTAAAAGAGTAAAAAATTAAATCTGTTCTGAGTACCTCTGCAATAGTTCTAGAGTTCCTGAGAAGGAGAAAGAAAGTTCTGCAAAAGTACGCCGAAAAAACATTTTTTTTGAAAAAGTGGAAAAAGTAAAATTTTTTAAAAGAGTAAAAAATTAAATCTGTTCTGAGTACCTCTGCAATAGTTCTAGAGTTCCTGAGAAGGAGAAAGAAAGTTCTGCAAAAGTACGCCGAAAAAACATTTTTTTTGAAAAAGTGGAAAAAGTAAAATTTTTTAAAAGAGTAAAAAATTAAATCTGTTCTGAGTACCTCTGCAATAGTTCTAGAGTTCCTGAGAAGGAGAAAGAAAGTTCTGCAAAAGTACGCCGAAAAAACATTTTTTTTGAAAAAGTGGAAAAAGTAAAATTTTTTAAAAGAGTAAAAAATTAAATCTGTTCTGAGTACCTCTGCAATAGTTCTAGAGTTCCTGAGAAGGAGAAAGAAAGTTCTGCAAAAGTACGCCGAAAAAACATTTTTTTTGAAAAAGTGGAAAAAGTAAAATTTTTTAAAAGAGTAAAAAATTAAATCTGTTCTGAGTACCTCTGCAATAGTTCTAGAGTTCCTGAGAAGGAGAAAGAAAGTTCTGCAAAAGTACGCCGAAAAAACATTTTTTTTGAAAAAGTGGAAAAAGTAAAATTTTTTAAAAGAGTAAAAAATTAAATCTGTTCTGAGTACCTCTGCAATAGTTCTAGAGTTCCTGAGAAGGAGAAAGAAAGTTCTGCAAAAGTACGCCGAAAAAACATTTTTTTTGAAAAAGTGGAAAAAGTAAAATTTTTTAAAAGAGTAAAAAATTAAATCTGTTCTGAGTACCTCTGCAATAGTTCTAGAGTTCCTGAGAAGGAGAAAGAAAGTTCTGCAAAAGTACGCCGAAAAAACATTTTTTTTGAAAAAGTGGAAAAAGTAAAATTTTTTAAAAGAGTAAAAAATTAAATCTGTTCTGAGTACCTCTGCAATAGTTCTAGAGTTCCTGAAAAAGAAAAAAAAGTTCTGCAAAATTACGCCGAAAAAATTTTTTGAAAATAAAAATTAAAATTAAATCTGTTCTGAGTAGCTATTCAATAGTTGTAGAGTTCCTGAAAAGGAAAAAGAATTTTTGCCAAATTACGCCGAAAAAAACATTTTTTTCGAAAAAGTGGGAAAAGTTCCATCTTTGAAAAAAAAATAAAAAATTAAATTTGTTCTTCTAAAGTTCTAGAGTTCCTACCTTTGACTACTGAAAAATATGAATGAAAAAGACAAAAAACACGCTTTGCGAAGTATACTTCTTTATCCAGCGACAACACGAAAAGTCTGCTAATTTATCCGATTCCTTTTAATAGGTTCAACAAGTCTAGAGAAAATAATCAAATTGCCGTAAGTAACTGCGAAAACATTTAAAATATATTTTCAGAAATCAAAAAGCGAATATGGGTCAATAATAATAACACAGGCCGACAGCATCTCAGACCCAGAAACCGGACTATGTATATCAAAATGCGATATCTCAGCGAAAAAAAAATTATATTTGAACAAAGAAAACGCCATTTGAAAGAAGAAGACTTGTACTTAAAGATGCCAGCCTATTATTTTGGTGAAAGAAAACATCTGCAAGGCTACATAACATCAAATATGGTGGGAAAGGTATTCAAATAGTATTATATAGTTGTCGAATATTTTTAGGTATCTTCGGCTCAGCTGACATGAAAAAAGCTGCATGTATGCATCTATGCATCTATATATTTTTGATGATTTAAAGATTTTAATTTTTAACGATGCAAAGTGAACTGTATGTATATACCTACATATATACTGCTGCAAATAATTATAAACTCAAAGTTATTTTAAATGCAACGCAAAAATTTTAAAACAAATTGGTGGATTTACATAGTCTTATAAAATTTTAAGTCCGAAAGTAAAAACTTAAAAATTACATAGTATGTTATACCGTTAATACGCACCGAAAATACAGAAGTCACAGTTGTATTTTTTAATTCCTTTTTCTATGCTAGACAACAACAAAATCTTTAAACAAAGCTAGTAGTAGTAGTTAAACAAACGAAGACGACATTCTTATGACCAATTTCTATACTTTATTTAATGCCACAAAATCCCAACACTGGTTATAAAACCATATCGAATGTCATAAACTCAAATTAGTCAGCTTTCAGACACGTCAAGTCTTGCTTTCAAGTCTGCTCGTTCCAAGGCGAAGGAGGTGAGAAGAAAGGGTAAGAGTGCAGATACTTCCCATTTAAAGAACCACGAACTTGAATTCAATAAAAGTTGACGCGTCTGGGAGCAAATAGAAAACACAAAAGAGAATGCGAAAAAATTGCTTTCAAGACTTATCTGATTATCAACTCTTCCCGATATAAATTGGGCTTTAAAGAGAAGCTTTTTTACTATCGTTAGGATTGCATGTGGCGGGATTTGAACACGCGGTCTCGGTGTTTTAAGTCAACACCTCTATCTCTGCGTGTAAAAATAATACATTAACGCTTACAAAATATGGCTGACTTCCAAAACGTATCAATACAATGTTTGGAAACTGTTATACTGCGGTATTCAAACTGTTTGTATAAGCAGAGTTGCGACACATTGCAACCATATACATTGCATATTTTAAATATTCAATATAGCAATGAACAATTTTTCTGAATTTTCCATTTCTAAAACACCAATGCTAACCAATAACAAACGAAGCATCAACTTTGTTTCTGATGCGCTGAATGCTCCAGTGATCCGTTTCGATAACTTTTCGGCTTCGTTTTGGAACAATATACATTGTCAATATTTTGTTGTTCGACGTTATGGAACCTTATACTTTGTACGTATGCAAAGCAATTGACGTTTTGGAAGTCAGCCTATGTTAGCGTTTGGCCGAGCTTCCCCTCCGATTTGTTGCGTGCGCCTTGATGTTGTGCCACAAAGGGCGTTTTTATGAGAAGCTGTTTTTCATGGACGAAATACGCTCGGAGGTTTCTAATCACTTTTTCAGATATTTCTTTTTTTTTGGATTTTGATATCGATATTTGCGATATCGAGTCTTTTTATTCCGATATTAATGGGTACCCGATATTTTTCCAGCGATACTTTAAATGAGTACCATATCGATACTTTCGGTTCGATATCGTGTCCCTAACCGACTGAGCCTAGTAGCAGCGCTCGGCTCTCTTATTTACGAACACATGCGCAAGCAAGATCGTTAACACGTTATTGTTCGCCAGTATGAATTAGCACATACTATTTTTTACATATGTATAATCAATTTAAACTTTATTGATTTATTAATAAAAAAATTAAATTGGTCGGCATTTCATGTTGTTGAATTATTTTTAATAAATAGACTACAAAAATAGTTAGAAATTGTTCCTCTATAAACAAAGAGGTGAATATAATAGCCTTTGGCAATATATCGTCCCCTTAGTATAACAATAGCCTATG